TCTTTTCGCGTAGTGTATATATTCTGTGCTGATGGTAAATTAAGGTTTAAGTTTAGAGAATCACGCCAGAATCGACACCACTGTCTAATGTTGTATAGTTAATGGTATGGAATCCTTCGTGCGCGAGTTTGACTCTCATATGTAGGGCTGCCATCTCTAAAATGTGGCAACCAGGATAAGACGCGTGATAACCCCTGATTTTGGAGCCCAGAACCCGGACAGACCAATAAAAAACAGTTAAAAATATCACAAATCAACTTTTTTATGTTGATCTAGGCAAAAGAGCTAGCGGTCTACCTCATAATAAGTGGTCACTGCTGCCCATGGACACTTGCAGCACCAAGGGCTATTCATGCGTTGCCGTAAATTTTTAAACCCGGACTACAAATAAAACCCCGCCCGGACGCTCCCCGGACGCCCCGTAAACTAGGACAAATCCGGGGAAACCCGGACGGATGGCAGCCCTACTCATATGGCCGGTTTTATTATCCACTTTTGGGTTATTGAAGGTCTACTTGATTTTATACAGCTCGTGAATTCGTCTGCAAGGTCTATTTTCCTTTTTTACACCTTTCGTGACAAAAAGTAGCACGAATATAGATAAAGATACCAAACCATATCATAATTAATTTGGAACAGTTCAAACGTGCAGCTGATTACCGCGTTCGGCTGTGATCGTTGAAGTTAAGCAACTTTTGCAGTGGTCAGTCATTGGATGGGTAACCAAAAATTTACTATCTCGAGTTTCTCCGTGCTTCGAGAGGCTCGTGAAGTCGTTATTTCCCTATTCCAGCCATAGGGAAGGCCTTTGCCTCAGCAGTAAGGACATTAATAGGCGGGTGACGAAAATTATTTTTTATCGGTTCAGACTTCAGAGGTGAAAACCGTGTGAAAGTAACATTTATATTATTACAGTAATTTTCGAGGCGTATAGGAAATAAAACAAACATTGATTTCGATTTTTTACTAACTTACGTATTGCAAAACAAAACAAAATAAAAATATAACATTTTCAACATACACAAAAATAAAATATTTTATAAGAAAAAATATTACACCACGGAATACATGCGCCTTCACTTAAGAATGGCTAGAAGAATTTCGGCGCGGCCATCTGAGCCGCGGTAGCATAATTGGTCAGTGCATTCGCCCGGATAGCGATAGGTGCGGGTTCGAGTCCCGTATGCTGCCTGGGGGCCATTCGCCTAACGGAAATGCTTTGGAAAACACTACGATTTCATTTTGTTTTTTCTAGCCGCCTGAGGTTTTCAAATGCCTCACGCTCTTTTATTTCTTTTGCATTGGTAATAACAATATTAAAAAAAATGAGCGTGAGGTATTTGAAAACCTTCGGCGGGTAGAAATAACAAAATAAAATCGAAAGCGTTAGCGTTTTCCAAAGCATTTCCGTTAGGCGAATGGCCCCCAGGACCGCATGGAATTTTTTCTAGTTATATTTTCTTTAAAAATAAAAAATATAAAAATTCCCCATCGTTCCGGTACATAAAAATAATCGATTTCAAAAGTCAAAAAAATAAGGTTTTCGCTATTTTCATCAAAACGTTAAGATTAAAATGTGGATCATAAAATTACTATAAGAAAAGGTATAAATTTTTTTCTAAGAAAAAAAACCACCGTTTTAAATTTTGCACCTTCACTCTTATTTTTTTGTCTATTAATGTTTAAACTATGTCGTAAACCACCACATCATTAATCTGTGGAACTTTCTTGATTTTTGAGCTTATGAACAACCTACGAATATACTGAAATTGAATTAGTAAATATGGAAAGACCTCCTAACTGGATGATGTTCTAACTACAAACATTGGCGCTTCAGTCGACAGCTTATGTCTACTTTACTAAAGGTTTTTCACGCTAGCAACACTGCTAACCTAAGTATCTAACCCTTGCAACACTAGTAATATTTACAATGTTACCGTTACGAAATATACTACTAATATTTAATTTATTAAACACATTCTTCACACTAACCGCACTTATCAATTTATTTTGAATCCTTAGTAAAAAGGGTACAGATTCAAAATCATTTGATGAAATTGGACAGTTTTAAATGACCATTGTCTTTTTTATTTTTTACCATGTTTCGTTAATAATTATAAGTTTAATCTAAGTACTACTTAATATTAATATTGACTCTCCCTCGTTATTTTATAAAGGAATATCTAGTATTAATAGGCTAGTTGACTTATGTCGAATTGTATTAAATAAATGTTTATTTCTTAAAGTATTTGGTCTAAGGAACCTAAATATATCGATTTCACTTCATAAAAGCAGAAGATTGGTGTAGAATTTAAAAAAATATTTTTTAGTCTATACTTTTTAAACACTAAAAACGCTGTTCGCCACATCCGCCATGATTGTGTCGTCTTTTTGGTAGTAAACAACTAAATGTCATTCGCGTGTTACTGTGGGTGTAAAACGAGTATTATTTAAACTGATAATAAATGAAGAGACTTAAAATATTATTCAATGAGTACTTACTTACATCAAAGTGATCTTCGCAAAAATAAAATTTACTATGAGTCGATAAAGTTGCAGGATCCCTTTTAGCAAGTTCTAACCAGGTATTGCGTAGGTTAATTTCTTTCGGCACTTTAATCCACAACTTTCCTGGAGTCTTCAAGGATGTGTTTTTACATTCTCGTACAATACAATAATGATAATTACTAATATCTTTCGTGGTGTTTATTATAAATCATGTTTTTTTTATTAAAAACTCAGATAGGTTACTTTCTACGTGCTTACGAGTTTTTGTTTACTACCGGTTGACGTCATAGCATAGATAATCTATAGACCAAAATGGCCGACAGCGTTTTTGAGTGTCCATGAAAATTCTATTTTAAAATTAATGATTTGTAGCTTTCTAGGTCTCAAAAAAATACATAACATTTTTTTTTCGGTGTAATAGAAGATTTTTTAACCATTTAAAACCTTTTTACAAAAAGGGTCAACTAGCCTATTAGACTTTATCTCTTACTACAAGGGTATTTTTTTTTCAATTTCGGGACTATGTATCTAATGTTATGAAACAGCGTGAAAAACAGCATTTAATTTTGCAATATTTATCAGCACAAGTTTTAAAAATTAATATTGTAAATTTTTTAAGCAGTCTACACTATATTTGCTATTTTTTTTTATAAAGAAGACTTGAAATTTGTCTACACAAATGCTAAATTCCGAAAATTAGTTGAAATGAAATGAGCAGACGACCATTGGTCAAGTTATCCAAATCTGACAGACTTCACGAACTGACTTTGAGCTCTATCCTAATTGATATAAAATGTATAATCGATTGAGAAAACCGATGTTGTGGTACCTAACTGTACAAAACTGAGTAGGTAGTTTTAACAACCAACCCTTTTTGTAAAATTCATAGAGATATTTTTGGATCTTGTTGCGTGTGGCCGAAATCGGAACTAATTTTAAGAAGGAATAAGGCGCCTCGCAGCCTAGACGGACACGACCACGGCCAGTGGCCGCAACGTCCACATTTACTATAGAAACCATACGAAAGTCGCGCACTTCCCGCCGCAACGGTCAATTTTAGTTTACCTGGTCGTTGCGACCACTGGTCGTGGTCGTGGCCGCTGGTCGTGGTCGTGGACAAACTAAGCCTTCTATTTAAAGAAGAAGGTGTAAATAAAGCCTTTTATGTTACCTATTACCTACTCTTTCCGAGTTATTGTAAATTATAGCGGTCCCTTTAATGATGAGATTTTACGTACTTCATCAATAATTCAACATCAGAGCGTTTCATCTTGGTCGCACTGTATACAATTTGTTTGAGTCTTTATCTCACAGAGAACCAAATCGGCAATGTTAAAAAATCCGGTAGGACTATTCGCTAACTACCTTTGACAGATGGAAGTGATATTCACTGAACTATTTAGTGATCCATTACTGCTTTATTATAACGTCGCTAAGATACTTGTTAGTCTGTAAAGCTTCGATGGATATGCAATTTTCTGTTTAGTTACACACTGGTGTCGATTCTGACACGATTCTCTAAACCTAAATTTAAATTTGAGAACAGTGCATCCTTGTCATCTATACCCATAATAAAATGGTAGGAAAGTCAAAACTGTGCATTGAATATTTTTTTTAAAGAATACTTGGAGTGTGATCCACAATGTATACCGAAGCAAAAAATATTGTTTTTAGAATTTTTGTCTGTTTGTCTGTATGTATGTCCGGGATAAACTCAAAAAGTACTGCATGGATTCACTTCAAATTTGGCACGAATATTATTAAGAAGTCGGGTCACATATAGGCTACATATTATCACGCTATCACTTACGGGGAACGAGCAGTGAACAGGGGTCAAAAAGTATGTGCAAATAACTAACTCCACGCGTCCGAAGTCGCGGGCGGCCGCTAGGTTCTTTATACAAAACTAGCGGCCCGCCCTCGCTTCGCTTCGGTGTAGAGCTGAAGTGTAGACTCAGGCTTGTATTACATACAATGACATTCATCTATGATTCTTCTTATACCTGCACGCATGCAAAGTCTCAGCCCGATCGGTTTAAAATTGTCAAAGTTTCATACAAACTTTCATTCCCTATTTTATCCCCTTGGGGGTAGAATTGATCAAAATCCTTTCTTAGCGGATGCCTACTTCATAACATCCACCTGCATGCCAAATTTCAGGCCGATCCGTCTAGTGGTTTGGGCTGTGCGTTGATAGATTACTATGTCAGTCAGTCACCTTTGAGTTTTATATATCGAGCCCTTACCGCCAAATTATCGTAAGCGACACTCGCCAAATTATCGTAAGCGACACTTTTGTTGAAATGCGTTTTTTGTGGAAACTAATATTTTAAACCGTAACGGACCCATCTCTGTTGATATTTCCCTCCAAAAGAACACCGTTATAATATAATAGAGGGAAGAATAGAGGGAAATATCAACAGAGATGGGTCCGTTACGGTTTAAAATATTAGTTTCCACAAAAAACGCATTTCGACAAAAGTGTCGCTTACGATAATTTGGCGAGTGTCGCTTACGATAATTTGGCGGTAAGGGCTCGATATATAGAAGATGAAAAGGAGAGACTGATGTTAAATTTAATTTTAACTTAGAGAATCATGCCAGAATCGCCACCAGTGTAAATGTCAATAAAAGTTAGCGAATTGGCCGCTCTGAGACAGGCCGGCAAATTGTAAAACGCGTTCCTTTTCGCATTTTTAAATAATTTGACATACGGTCAAGCGCGACCCATATTTTTTTTTATTTTAGGCAAAGGCTGACTTGTCTTTAGGCATTTTCATATTTAATTTAAATTTAATAATTCACATTTTCTTTACTTATTTAATAGTCTTCTGCCATGATGAGGGTCACCAGGCCAGTCCATCCGGAGAACGGTCTACATCCAGATCCCTTCCCGTCCTCACCCGAGTACTGCTCCCAGAGGTATCCTGTACGTTTGTACTCCGACAAAACGTTACCTGGAAGAAAGACCTGTTTTTAGAGGAGATTAATTTGCGCAGATTATATGGACAGTAGAAAAGAAAAATCGCTTAAACACCACATAAGAGCCCTTTTACAAAATTGCGCCGCTGCCGTACTGATCGGCGCGTAGGTAGATTTGCACTAGCATATATTGCATTTTACGGGTGAAGTTTTGAGTCTTATAAAATACTTTTTAATGCACTTATTATAAAAAAATAATCATGTTTCAGTAGTTCAATGATGGTAGATTAGTTTTATGAAAGTTTTTGAGAGTAATTCTATTTAATTCAATATCAAAATATTACCTGCATTATTTTTTGGGAAAACTTACGGAGGTTAGATGTTTTTTTGATAATTAATGAGATGGAAAATCAATTCTAATACATTATGTAACAACAAAAACATATTTCTGATGTCGTTATAATAAATTTGATCTAATTTCTTGGACATTATTGAGAGATTGAGGCGTTTGAAGTTGCGCATATTATCGTTTTTTTCCGTAAACTAGCTGCAGTAGAACGATCAGTACAAAAAAAGGAAAATAGTATTTGCATATATTCTACATTAATTTACAATAAGAAGAATAAATCTACTATTTACTTTTATTCGTAATAGTCAAAATCTTACCTAAACGAGGTGCTCAAAAAATACGATTTTTTGCAAAAAATGTGATACGGCTCTTAAGTAACTTTACAAAAACGGGGATCAAATCTTATTTTTTTCATAAAAAAGAAATCATAACTCATTGTAAATTAGAAGTGACACCATAAAAATAAAATCATAATCATAAAATAATATTTTCTAAATATCCTCCTATTAAAAAGTTAAATACAGTCGCCATACTTACGGCATATTAGGTTCTCGAAAGACGCGACGTAAATCGAAACGACGTAAGTCGAGACATCCCCGCGGACGCCGGCCTCACTGACATTGAACTCGCTACAAGTAAATTCTCCTATGCCGGAAATCGAAACAATTGACGTATGCTTGAGGAATAGTGTCAAAACATTGTTCGACGTAATTTAAAACGACGTAAATCGAAACGACGTAAGTCGAGGACTGCCTGTAGTCTCTTTACGAATTAGATGTCGCTTAATTGAATATCACTCAGTCCGCCATGCATTTTTTGCTAAGCAAACATCAAATCATACGCCAAATAGTACGTAAGCGCCTTTAGTTCAAAAAACACTTTAAAAACAACGTTTATTTATAGCCCTCTCTTGATTGGGCACAGTGAGGGCCGCGTAATGCTTGAGGGCCGATAGGGCCAGGTAGTTGATGCTGGCCCATATCGGGCCCCGCCAGTACGGGGGGTCGTGCTCTGTGTTCCGTTTCATGAACAGAGAAGTTAAGCACGTTTGCTGGGTCACCCGTCTTAAAGGTGACCTTTGCCAAAGCAGCTTGACATTGTTTTTCAATACTTACCCCGAAATTGTTACCTACATCTCTTTTTATTGCGCACTCCTGTTTGGTCACCCATCTCATTAACAGCCCCTACAAAAGTCACTTACCATTGTTTACTACTTACGAATTGTCCATCAATTTTAGATGTAGTTCCTGGTTGGTCACTTTTGCTTGGGCACCCATCTCAAAAGTCGCCACTGAGAAAGTTGCCTAATATTTTTTATACTCACGTACAAATAATGTGCAATTTTGTCGAGCACGCCTGTTCGGTCACCCATCTCATCAGTAGCATTAACAAAAGCTTCTTAACATTTTTATCAATACTTACGCACGAAATTGTCCCTCAATCTTCGGTGGAGCTGTGTAGCTCGCTCCTGATTGGGCCCAGTGAGGGCCGCGTAATGCTTGAGGGCCGATAGGGCCAGGTAGTTTATGTTGGCCCATATCTGGCCCCGCCAGTACGGGGGATCGTGCTCTGTGTTCCGTTTCATGTACAGAGGGGAGGATTTCGATAAAGATCTGTTTGGCAGAAGGAAAAAAAATATTTATGTAAACATATAAAAAAATATATTGTTTTAAACTTTCATAGTCACTAAGGGGGCGTCCATAAATTACGTGAGATGTTTAAGGGGGGGAGTGGGGGTCGAGTCAAATCTAATCTAATCAAAGCAAATATCAGGCAATTTTTTTTCTGATTGAAACAAAAAAAAAATATACTATTTTGGTCCATTTAATCCAGATTGTACATGCTAAAGATTTAATCTTAAGCGTAATCGTAATACGATTAAGATCATTAACTAATTCGTTTGAACGAAAATAATTTCATTCATACTTCGACGTTGTACATCTACTGACTGTCAAACCACCATATTTGTTTTATATCAAAAAGCTCAATTTAATCTGAATAAAAAAAAACACAAAGCATTTTTTTTTCTTTTTACAATAACAATCCAACGCGTTTGTAAGAAACCCACATTTTGAAAATTCCCACGTGAGATTGGGGCATGGGGGAGGGGGTTAAATATAATCTCACGACATCTCACCAGGGGGTGAGGGACAGAAATATCAAAAATACCTCTTGCGTAATTTATGGACGCCCCCTTACATTATAGCTATTAACGGGTTTTTTTGATTGATTGAAAAAAAGAAAATAATTATTGATTGATTGAAAAAACCTTCTTTTTTTTGTTTGTATAAAGTTACTAGGACGACGTCAGAGGGTAGACCGACATGTCTGCCAATAACATCTACCCGCAATTACTTCAGTTACTCCGTGATCATGGCGCTTGCAACAGTGCCCAAATATCGGAAACTCATAAAAAACAAGGTACATAAGGTAACAATCCCGTTAATAGGTAGAATTATAAAAAAAATACTTTAAAAAAAAATATATTTAAGCAAACGGCGAATTAGATGATATAGGCATTTTTTAGCAGTCCACCAGTAAGAATCTTGGAGATAAACGGTACGGCGATAAGGTAATGTTGCTAAAGTACAAAAAACCGGCAAGTGCGAGTCGGACTCCATTTTTTTTTTGTTTTTTGGAAAATGCGTGACGCATACCCGCCCCTGGGTGAGAGACGGGGTTATGTGGGACTCATCCCCCCCCCCCCACATCCCGCCCACCCGCTCAGCCAAACTGGCTCAGTGGCTGCTTATGGCCTTATTTTTTTCGAAAAATGATCTACATGCAACTTTCCAGAAATATATATATAGGCGTGCGCTAAGATTTTTCAAAAACTCACCCACTAAAGGGGTATAACTACACCTTACCTTACCTTACCTTGTGAAATGCAATAAACCATATTAAAAACGAGAAACAAAAACAAAAACAAGTACTAGCAATATCGCTCGATATCAAAGGCGCTTTTGACCACGCTTGGTGGCCATTATTACTAAAGCGCCTCAGAGAATTGCAATGCCCCAAAAACATATACACAGTGATTCATAGCTACCTAAACGAGAGAACCGTGAGAATCAATTATGCTGATGAATCAACAATGAAAACGCAAACCAAAGGATGTGTCCAAGGCTCAGTCCTTGGACCCATCTTCTGGAATATAATAATGGACGAAGTCCTTAATATAAAATACCCGGAAGGCTGTCTCGTACAGGCCTACGCAGACGACCTGCTGCTAATAGCCAGCTCAAAGGACGTCAAGAGTCTGGAAAACAGTGTACAAATCGCACTTCAGAAAATCATAAACTGGAGCAACAATGCTAAACTGGAGATAGCCCCCGAAAAAACACAACTGATTATTTTCACAAATAAAGCTAAAAAAGTCAATATAAAAATAAATAATAAAATTATAAACTCAGTAAGCGAAATCAAATACCTAGGAATAATAATAGATGATAACCTCAAATTCATTAAACACGTAAATTATATAATAGACAAAGCAGAGAAAATCAATAAAAAACTAAACATATACATCAGACCATCCTGGGGAGTACAATCAAAAAACGTAGACACAATATACAAAATGGTAATACAACCGATAATAACCTACGCAGCCGAAGTATGGGCACCCACAGCAACGAAATATAAAACAGTCAACAAAAAATTACTATCACTACAAAGAAGATTTGCAATAAAGATTATAAGAGGATTTAGAACCTTACCTACAACAACAGCAATAGCCCTAGCACAGCTTACTCCATTAGACCTTAAACTGAAAGAAATAGCAGAAATAGAAGAAACCAAAAGTAGACAAACAACACCATATCTACCGGACGATATTACATACCAAAAACGAATACACCCATCGCACCTTCTACACCCAGCAAACCGAGTCACTATAGAAATTGAAATAACCACCACAAATGATGACATTAACAAATTAAAAGAAAAAGACACATACCAAATATTTACTGATGGGAGTAAAAATAATGGAAAAGTAGGTGCAGCCTTCGTGGTTATTACGCCACAAAATAAAACAGTAATAAATAAGCTCAAATTGCATGACTCATGCACGGTGTTCCAGGCCGAAGCATTCGCAGTCCAAAAAGCAACGGAATGGTGTGTACAAAACAAAATAAAACAAAGTAAAATTTACTCAGATTCCCTTTCCGCCCTCCAAGAACTCAAAAATAGGAACTCAACGAACACGATAATCGCTGAAACCCACATAAATATACATAAACTACGGCAAATTGGAACAATCCACTTCTCGTGGGTGAAGGCGCATTGCGGAATATACGGTAATGAGTTGGCGGATGAAGCAGCAAAAGCAGCTGCAACAATAGAGAAAACACCAGAATACAATAAATTTCCAATTTCATTCCATAAAAAACAGGCCAAAGAAGAAATAGAAATAGAAACAAATAAAAGATATTTACAAAGCACCACTGGACAACACACCAAACACCTATTCCCAGATTTAAGAACATTAAACATGATAATAGAAAAAATACCTGCTAACTTCATTACTACTCAAATATATACAGGACATGGGTACCATTTACAGTATCTACATCGATTTAAAATAAAAGAAACAGACAAATGTCCCTGTGACGATACAACCCAACAAACACTAGAACATCTAATACAAAACTGTCCAAAATATAGCACATACAGAAATGAATATATACAAACTTTTCAATATACAACTTATACAAACAATAAAAACCTAAACCCCTATGAATTAAATAACATTATTAAAAAAGAAACAACAATCAAATCATATATAGAATTCATCCAAAAAATCATATTGAACTTAAAAGAATTTAACAAAAACATCAATTAAAATTTACAAAAACACAAATATACTTTATTAACATAAAACAGTGAGAAAAACAGCTCGTAGTCCAAAAGCGAGTGTTTTGCTCATAACAAAGCAAACGGATACCAAAATAAAATAATACCTTACCTTGTGTGAAACACGAATATTTGCTGTCGATACTTTTTTTTTTAAAGTTGACAGAAGAAGCAATTGTTCGGATGAGGTAAATAGTGCTCTTTTAAAAAAAAGATGGCGCGTAACCAAAAAACGTGACGCGTAACCGAAAAAAATGTGACGGTAAATTTTTTTCCAACGCCGATAAAGAAGTTTCACTTCAAAAACCCAACAGTGGTCCCTCGCCTGCCGGAACGGGTTTCGTGGGATCCAGGTGACTCTCCACGTTACCTCCGGCAGGGGTTCCTCCTCCTCCTGGCGGTCGGGGGAATGCCCGGGAGCACCCAGGCATCCCCCCTCGACGGGTGAGACCACAGAACACAGAAAGATGTTAGAAGGGCCTTGTGGGCGGGGCAGGCGCGCCACAGTTAGTTGTGAGCAAATGCTCATAACTTGACCAAAACTTGGCAACGATTGCTTTGTTGCGATGGGGTGTGAGCGCCGATTGGTTCGATTGTTTGATGTCACGGCGTTTGATTGGCTAATATCTATTAGGTGTAAGTGTAGTGCGGGCGAGCCGGCGACATCGGTTCCCGTACAAAAGGTCTCTGAAGACCCTTCTAACCTCTTTCTGTGTTCTGTGGGTGAGACTGTGCAATGCGGGTGACGGACCACCCTGTCCGCCGCCCGCTAGCCTCACTAGGGTGGAAAGAGGCGGTTGTACCGCCGCCGCCTTCCACCCCGCCGTCGGCGACGGAAAGTGCGAGTCGGACCCGCGCACCGAGGGTTCCGTACAAACTCAATTTAATACCTCAACGCGTTCATGAGAAAAGAGGTAGTAACTTTAAAATTTTCATAAATATTTTTGAAGTTATACTTCTTTAGGCGCGTTATGAAAAAATTATGAGAGTGAAATTTTCATCACTGTAACACAAAATTTTAACATAATGAAGTTAGCCGCGGGCGCGTTATTTGTAATATTTTATTTTCCAAGTGACCGTGGGGCAGATTTGGACAAAGCAAACAGGGCAGATTTGAACGGGACATTGAAATGAAATGAATTGAAATGAAATGAAATGACATTTATTCAGTCTTGGCTGTTACAAGCACTTGTGAAGGTCAAGAACACAACGTGTTTTAGTTACTTACAAGTGCTAATTACATATGGACTAATAACTTAAATTCAGTAGTGATTTTAATTGAATATTTTGAATATTTATTTAATTTTTCAAATTAAAACTGAACTTAATTGACTGTGTTAACTATCCTTTTCCAGTCCTCTTATTATTTTATTGTAATTATTAATTATTTGCATGCAATTAAAAAATATTTTAATGATGCTAAAGAAGTATAACTTCTCACGCGCGTACATAAGTTACACGCATCCATTTTTTTATTCTATGATATAACTAAAGATTTACGGTTTTCGCAATTTTTTTAGTACTATAAGACGTTACTTCGTACCAAATTTCAAGATTCTAAGTTCACGGGAAGTACCCTGTAGGTTTTGATTCCCGTGCGAAAATTTGCGGCATAAACGGCTGTATCCCTTAATTGCTTTGGCTTAGAACTTTGATCTTTTCACAGCTCCAAGGGACAGTAGACCTGAGTATTAGATATGGATTTCAGTTTGATATTTCCACGCGTTCCTGAGAAAAACGGTCTTGACAGACGGACGGACGGACAAAGTGATCCTATAAGGGTTCCGTTTTTTCCTTTTGAGGTACGGAATAATACAAAGAAACAAATATTGCATATATATATCTAATATATAAAATTCTCGTGTCGCGGTGTTTGTGGTTAAACTCCTCCGAAACGGCTCGACCGATTTTCGTGAAATTTTATATGCATATTCAGTAGGTCTGAGAATCGGACAACATCTATTTTTCATCCCCCACAATGTTAAGGGTAATCCACCCCTAAATTTTTTTTTTCAATTTTAGATTTTTTTTATTTTTTTTATGATACTTACATCATACAAAAATAAATATAGCCCAAAATTTTCGCCCTTCTACCCCTATTTTTTTATGGCGGTACGAAGTTCGCTGGGACAGCTAGTATATATATCATCCATCCATCCATCCATCAGCCTTTTTCCGTCCACTGCAGGACATAGGCCTCCCCCATAGAACGCCACAATGCGCGGTCCTGCGCTATCCGCATCCAGCGGCTCCCAGCACATTTGACGATGTCGTCAGTCCACCGTGTTGGGGGCCGCCCCACGCTGCGTCGTCCGGTACGTGGTCGCCACTCGAGGACCTTTCTTACCCAACGGTTGTCAGGTCCTCGAGCGATGTGGCCTGCCCATTGCCACTTCAGCGTGCTAACTCTTCGGGCTATGTCGTACACACCGGTCCTTCTACGGATCTCCGTATTCCGGATCTTATCACGTAGGGAAACACCGAGCATAGCCCTCTCCATAGCACGCTGCGCGACTTTGAGTTTTGTCATGAGGCCGACATTCAGAGACCACGTCTCAGTCCCATAAGTTATCACTGGTAACACACACTGGTCATAGACCTTTCTTTTCAGGCACTGGGGAATTTTGGCCGTGAGGATATGCCTAAGCTTCCCGAACGCTGCCCATCCGAGTTGGATTCGTCGGTTGACCTCTTTCTCGAAGTTGGATTTGCCCAACTGGACTGTTTGTCCTAGGTAGACGTAATGATCGACAACTTCGAGAATCGCATTCCCAACAGATACTGGTGCTGGAGTGACATGGACATTGAACATGACCTTGGTTTTATCCATGTTCATCCTTAAACCAACCCGTTGGGAAACTCTGCTGAGGTCATTGAGCATTGTGCCAAGGTCCTCCAGGGATTCTGCCATAACCACGATATCGTCTGCAAATCGAAGGTGAGTGATGTATTCGCCGTTGATGTTGATGCCGAGTTCAGTCCAATCCAGAAGCTTGAAGACGTCTTCCAATGCAGCGGTGAACAGTTTCGGGGAAATTACGTCACCCTGTCTGACACCCTTCTGCAATGGAATCGGCCTCGTACTTCTCTCCTGGATTCGGACTGAGATAGTGGCGTTTCTATACAAACACTTCAACACTTCGATATATCGATAGTCAATTTGGCACCGCTGGAGGGACTGCAGCACCGCCCAGGTCTCGACCGAATCGAAGGCCTTCTCATAGTCCACATACGCTAGACACAGAGGCCGATTATACTCCTCGGTCTTCTGTATGATCTGACGCAGCGTATGTATGTGGTCCATGGTACTAAAGCCCTTTCGGAAACCGGCTTGCTCGGGAGGCTGGAAGTCGTCGAACCTGCGCGAAAGTCGATTTGTAATGACTCTCGAAAACAACTTATAGACGTGGCTCAAGAGCGAGATAGGTCGATAGTTCTTCAAGCGGGTTTTATCGCCTTTCTTGAAGAACAATACCACCACGCTCCTGGTCCACGCCTCTGGAACAATGCCCCCGAGGATGACAGAGTCGAATAGCTTCTGAAGGGCCACGAGGACCGGCTTACCGCCCGCCTTCAGAAGCTCCGTAGTGATTCCGTCATCGCCCGGTGCTTTACTGTTTTTAAGCTGCTTGAGAGCCATTCTGATCTCGTACAGGCTGACATCCGGGATGTCCTCGGTATAGTGTCGGGTTAGCTTGGATCGTGGATCTAGTATATATATATAAATGTTAATATCCAGCAACGAATTAAAATGATATGGAACCATTACTTTCTAACAAGGCCGCTAAAACATAGTTCCAAAGTGCCAATTCCCTAAATATTCACCTCAGTCCGTAGGGCGACCACAGTAGTCCCGGTTTGTCCAGGTCCTCCAGGATCTTGCCCAGATTCTCGCTCTCCGGCCGAAGCACTTTCAACAGCATAGGGAATAGCGACACGTAACCTGGTGACAACGTATCAAGAATTTAACTGCTGAATATGATTATAAGTATTTAAAAAGAAAAATTTACTAGGAAAATTCCCACTTGGATAGTTAGGGGGTCTTTCATGTAACCTAATTATTGTAGTGAAACTTCTTTACGCACGTTTGACTTGGGGGGTAAGCTGGCAATCGCGTTACGCGTTACGAAAAGTGTGATCGGGCAAGGCGAACATAAGTTGAGTGGGGGATATAAGCAAGAGAAAACAGTGCACGCGCACATTTTCTTTCTCTATTTCTCTTATAGCTGGTAAATGAAATATGTATATGTACATACATCTATATATTGTACACACATACATATATATATATACAGATGGAGCTAAAGAAGTTTCACTTCAGTCATGTGGTTATAAGCACAGATTTTTAAGTTTCTTAGCTTAGCTAAAATTTTTATTTTTTAAGCATGTAACTGCTTGATGTTTAAATCTAAAGATCATCCTATTAATGTCTCCACTGCTGAGGCTCAGGCCTTCCCTATGGATGGAATAGGGAGATTGGGCCATGACCCACACCGCGGGCCCAGTGCGGATTGGTGGGTGCTAACGACTGCAGATGCAGCCGGGACCAACGGCTTAACGTGCCTTCCGAAGCACGGAGGAGCTCGAGATAGTACTTTTGGTCACCCATCCAATGACCGACCATATTAATGTTTAAATCTTCCTTAGGTTACTCATAGTTCACGGTGTATAATCAGAAATTCTATTTTTTGTACATCCTATAGCTTTAATATCTATGAGATTCGCCTGAAATAAATATTTAATAATAATAATAAAAATATCTTACCGAAAGCCGACGTGACCAGCCTAGGTTGCGGGGCGGCGGTGACAGTCCGTACCGTCCTGGGACTCTCGTTTGGGTTCTTGGGATGAACCTTGGTAAGTCGCACCCCGTCAGTATGAAGACCTGGAGATAAGGGAGGCAATTGCAGCACCAGTTTGGAAAATTGCGCTCCACCAAAATATATACAGGTGAGCTGAGCGAAATTAGCACGGAATGAGGGCTATCGTTTTTTGTCTCACCAGATGGCGCCACTGTTGAGTGAGGTCCTGAAGTGTAGCTTTTAAAGTTAGTAAGCACGCTCGTGATATCAAAGTTTACATTTTAATACAAAAGAATCGTATCTTAAACATAATCGCCCATGTCAGTGTTGCGCAGTCCCGTTTTGTTCGGAAAAAAGGAGGACGTAATATTTTTGAAGTTATACTTCTTTAGGCGCGTTATGAAAAAATGATGAGAGTGAAATTTTAAGATGCGCGCGCATCACTGTAACACAAAATTTTAACAGCATGAAGTTGGTCGCTTTAGCGACCAACTTCATGCGTTACTTTTGTGTTTACCGCACATTAAGAAAATCTACCAACAAAATAGAAACTCTATTTAGTGGGTGCTAACGACTGCATTGTGAAGGCCTATCAAAAGTATTTATTAATCTGGAACAACGGAACCAAAGCGCGATTCAGGAGACTACAGCGCCATCTCTTGACCATTGGTGTAGTAGAACCAAAAACCACATCTTTATTTTTTGTAATAAAGTAACAGTTATAGGTATTCATATTTATAATATCAAAAGTATTTATAAATCTGGAACAACGGAACCAAAGCGCGATTCAGGAGACTACAGCGCCATCTCTTGACCATTGGTGTAGTAGAACCAAAAACCACATCTTTATTTTTTGTAATAAAGTAACAGTTTTAGGTATTCATATATTTATAATATTTATCCACATGTTTCTAGTTTGTATATTCGGAATACGTGTTTTGAGTTTCATACAAGTGCAAATCACATACGTTCTAATAAATTATAATCAGTAGCGATTTTAATTGAATATTTTGATTATTTATTTATTTTTTCAAATTAAAACTGAACTTTATTGACTGTGTCCTTTTCCAGACTTTTTATTAATTTATTGTAATTAATTATTTGCATGCAATTAAAAACAAATTTTAAACGATGCCAAAGAAGGATAACTTCTCACGCGCCTACATAAGTACACGCACCCATTTTTTTTTTACAGCTCCGCTTTTAACTAACGGACATTCATTGACACGTAACTCATATTTGCCATAATAAGTCTGATTTATTACCAAATATTACAACTATTATTTTAATTAGTAAAAAACCGCGTAGTCGACCCACAAAGCTATAACATTTGACATTTCGGAGACCTCACGCTACACAAGCGCCTCTAGCGGCGGTTTCAGACGCGATAGCCCTCATTGAAAAGTTCCCAAAAAAGAGCATCGTTCTCCATTCGTGAAATCTTTACATTTATTTTTACCCGTTACTTTAATACCTTAATATTTTATTAAGACGAGTCTAATTGGCGTGAGTTTAAGACATATTAATTTATTAATTAATCTCTTATCTATTAGACAAGTCCGTCCGTCCGTCCGTCTGTGGTGCTGTTTCAGCGGCCAAACCGTAAGAGATAGATAAAGAGAATATTTAAGTTATAAGTTAAGAATAGTCTGATAAGACTACAAACCGGATTTGAGTAACGTAGCACTTCCGGTTTTCGAGAAATCACGAATTTCAAACGAAACCACACAAAATCTCCGAAGTTCTCAATTAATTAAATACATTTTTTTTTTAAATCAGGTTTTGGTGAACATTTGGTTCACTGGTTTGCTAGTAATAATAATAATCTTTATTGTATAACACCACAAAGGACATAAAAGTAAAATTACACTGACAGAGAGATATTACACAATGGGCGGCCTAATTGCTTAATAGAAATCTCTTCCAGGCAACCCATGATGGAAAATGAAATACAGTGGATCCCCGGTAGTCCGACAAACATTTTGCAGGGCAGTGTCGAACTATCGAATTTGTCGGATTATAGAGTACTGCCTAAGACCCCCTATAGTCCGTTTTTTTTACAAAAGAGTACCTTGTAATCCAACAAATTACAGATCCAATGATAAGATTACAAATCATACTTCGTTATGTATGTCAAATTTAATAAATTAAACAACACAATAGAAAGATTACGTTTTATTACAAAAGTAACTAGCAAACCAGTGAACCAAATGTTCACCAAAACCTGATTTAAAAAAAAAATGTATTTAATTAATTGAGAACTTCGGAGATTTTGTGTGGTTTCGTTTGAAATTCGTGATTTCTCGAAAACCGGAAGTGCTACGTTACTCAAATCCGGTTTGTAGTCTTATCAGACTATTCTTAACTTATATAACTAAAATATTCTCTTTATCTATCTCTTACGGTTTGGCCGCTGAAACAGCACCACAGACGGACGGACGGACTTGTCTAATAGATAAGAGATAATAATAAATAGTGATGGTGCGTACAAGTTGTAACTTGTTCAATCGTGAATTAGCGAATACTTGTATGTAATAGACGATGTCGGATTATAGGGGGTGCCGCATTAGCCAGGGGCCGAATTACCGGGGCTCCAATGTAAGTGTAGAAGAACATAAATAAATTTATATATTTTTTTAAGCATGTAACTGCTTGATGTTTAAATCTAAAGAAAATATAACAAGAAAAAACCACCACCACGCGGACCAGGCAGCAGACGGGACTCGAACCCGCACACTTCGCTATCCGGGCGAATGCACTGACCAATTATGCTACCGCGGCCCTGACGGCTGCGTCGAAATGGCTCTAGCCATTCTTAAGCTGCAAGGCAGCGCGTGGATTTTTTTCTAGTTATATTTTCTTTAGATATGAATAAATTTATTTATTACCATAGTCGGCGTACGTGCGTGTGTGCGTGGACCAATGCAACTCGTTCAGTAGGTCCTCGTCTCCCAACTCCTCCCGAGTGGCATCAAATCTGGGTCCAAACGACAAAGGAAATATTTGTGAAACGGCGGCATTGTATCATCATCATCATCATCAGCCTATTAATGTCCCCACTGCTGGGGCACAGGCCTTCCCTATGGATGGAAAAGAGAGATTGGGCCATGACTAGGGTTACAATCCGTCAGGAGATACAGGATGGTCCAACTAGTGACGTCAACAATTTTTTTTTAGATTCCTCGCAACTGTAGGTAACCGAAAATACCCCGTGTATGTTCCGCGATTTTTCTTAGCTTTCAAGTTATATTTTTTTGTGTACTTTTAAATACTTTCTGCCAGCGAGGTTTCTAAAATTCACATCTTTTTTCATAGTAGGTATTTTGCAATTTTTATTTGTGACATAATTGTCTTGAATGTTGTTTTAATAAAAAAAATAACTCGGCTTCTTGAAATTACTTAAAGTTACTCAAAAAAGGCTTGAAAGTTGGAACATCAGTATTTAGTAGGATTTACTTAAACATTCAACTTCAATTTAAAAATACAAAAAGGAGTTTCCATAGCTTCTCGCTAAAATTAAAAACTCCGCATGCTTCTAAACTACCAAAGATCATAATAAAAAGTACTTAATCAGCCTATTTTTGTTGTATTTGGCCTTCGAAGGCGGATATGAAGGCATTAAAAATTATTTTATCTCTTTTTATCATTGTTATGGTAAATTAAACTTACAAATGTAATATCAAATTAAACTTAATTGAAATTCCCGTAAAAAAACTTAAGCATGTGTAATTTTACAATAATTTCGGTTTAACCACTAAGATTTAAAATGCGAACCACCCTGTATATATATATATATATATAAACAAAAGAAAAGAAAACAAGTTGGACTTCAAAAAACCGTTTTTTACCGTGTAGATAAATAAAATATTTCTCACTTGTCCGGATCCCGGCCAATGGTCCTCGCTATCAGGGAGAGGCTGTCGGCGGCAGCGTACATCCAGCAACGTAGATCTACGTGCCTCTCTATGTCGGTCGGGTGAGACGCCCTAAAAACAAAATGTAATAATTATAACCAATTCAAACATGGAATGAATGATGCAATACAGGGGTCTAAGCTCCGAATATGATTTTGTCCCATTCGGTGTCGAGACTCTTGGTCTGTGGGGTCCTAGCGCTGTATGGCTTTTTAAGGAAATAGCAAAAAGGTTAGTCGACATCACAGGAGACCGAAGAGCTGGCAGCTACCTCGGACAAAGAATTAGTCTAGCTATTCAAAGGGGGAACGCTGCCAGTATCTTTAGAACCTAGTCTAAAGGGACTCCTTTTAATAATGTATTTTAAATATTAACTGTAAGGTGCACATTGTAAAATGCCTTCCGAAGCACGGGGGAGCTCGACATAGTACATTTTTGGTCACCCATCCAATGACCGACCACTTTCGCTTGCTTAACTTCAACGATCGCAGCCGAACGCGCTAACCACCTGCGCCATCAAGCTGTCTTAGTCTTAGTAGTACGGCGACACCCAGTGCCTATTTTGCGTGAGGATTGGCATCAGTCCTGCCATCCCAGCTCCTCCAGAAAGCTCAGCAGTCCCCGGATGTTGCTGCAGGCCTCTACTAGTGTCTGCGGGCTTCCCATAGCTCTATGGCTAGCGAGCTGTATCACTGTACTATGCGATTCAAATAAGAATAGGACCGACTGGGTGCCATATTGTGACGTCATAGCTGTCAATTCAAATCAGTTAGGTAGAGTGAGCAAAAAGGTTTTTCTTTAATAAAACTTATTTACCAACATTAAGTGGGAAAAAATATCAGATTATTATAATAATATTTATTTATTAAGACTGAATGAGAAAAAATGTTAATCAGAATCTAGCTCTTTAAATCCGCTCATCTCTGCACTAGCGTCGGAGTAGTCATGATTACCACTGCTGCTTTCGTCTATAAAATAAAATATCGATTATTGGTGTCGATTCTGGGGCCCAATTCTCGCGGCATAGATATTATATCACCTTCGATATATATCGAATGATCTGGCTTTTATCGAAGGAAAACCTTTTTGCCCTATTCTCACCATGTCGCAATAGATATTTATCTACGGATGATCAGTAGACATACATCGACTGGTAAAGAGCCTTCGATATATAAATATCTATGGATCTTGGCATGTCAATCTTGTTATTTCAACTTTTTTTACCTATTATTTATTGTGTTGTCGTGTGTCATTGCCAATTATTGTTACCTCAAGATGTTGTTAACTGCCTTCATAAATAATTAGTAAATAAAGAAATAGGTAAACAATGGTGTCGATTCTGGCGTGATTCTCTAAACTTAAAACTAAATTTAACATCAGTCTCTCTTTTTCATTCTGTATAGAGAATGACAAAGAAACACTGTTGTCAAGTTTAAGTTTAGATTTAGAGAAACGTGCCAGAATCGACACCAGTTTATATTAACGATGGATGAGTTGATTCATGTTTTCGTCAATGATTTAATAAATGACGTGAAAACTTCCCTGAAAAGGGAGAATTTTAAATAATATTGACGTTTCATTATACATAACGTTGAAATTTTAAACGCATACAATTTAGGTAAAGTTGAGATTTCTTATACTCAAAAAATGTATACTCATATTTAATATGAATGGAATTCATAAAATATAAAATATCATTTTGTTGCTTGTAAAATTCTGCTCTAATATATTATTATTTTATATAGACTATGATATTAACTTAATCGAGAAAAACGGAACGCTTTCGGCAGTGAAAGAATATCTACGATAGATATAATATCATTGGAATATCGAAAATCCACGAGAATAGCATTTTTTACCATCAGTAGATATTTTCAATAGATATCCCTACTTTCGATATTATCTCAAAGCCGATATAATATCTACGCCGCGAGAATTGGGTCCCTGGCACGATTCTCTAAATCTAAACTTACATTTGACAACAGTGTATCCTTGTCATTCTCTATACAGAATAAAAAGGAGAGACTGATGGTAAATATAGTTTTAAGTTTAGAGAATCACGCCAGAATCGACACCATTGTCGGTTTTAAAACGACAACTTTATTTAAAATAAAAACGATCAGATATTACCTGTTTTTATAATAAAACTAAAGTTCTTATATTTCCCTTTTCCTGTACTCATTTTCTTTACGTTTTATATAATTTATTTCCATCTATTGTTTACAAACGTTTGGTATTTGTTCTAAGATTAACTCAGTGCTAAAAAAAGTGTTCCAAGTTTTTTTTGAAAACCGTACTTTTCAAGCGACATTTGACAGATGGAGGTCATTGGCTTTCCCATTCTTATTTGAATTGCATTGTACGAAACCGCGAGCTACATAATCCTAAACATACCTCGGATAGTCGTCCAGCCCCGAGGTGAGACTTTTAGGGTTCAATTGCAGCCCATCATCCTCCCTACCCCGCCATCTGTACGCGGTGGGTTCCTCGCCTTTCTGCGTGCTTTGGAACCAGTTGTACCATGCCTGGAACAAATACATACATTCTTTTGCACGCCTCACAACGCGTAAGCGTGTGGGAGTGCTTTACTCCCGATAGGCCGCTATGTGACGATTTCACAATATAAAATCGCTCTTATCTCCCAAGTTAGACACTAAATCAAAAAAAAAGAGGTATTTTGAAAACTAGACATTCAATTCAGTCAGCGTATTTTATCATTTTTTTAGTATATATAACAAAAAAAATTAGTTAAAAAAATATTAGTACTGCTGTCCGTTGGTCTGTGCACTTGTTTGTCTGCACGTTTTAGAAAAATATACGCATTTAATTGTAATAAATCCTTTTGAATTAATTTCCACTTATACTGAGGATGAACCCTATTTCTTATCATGATTGAACTGATAACCGTTTTAAAGATATTAATGAAATTCAATGGAATTTATTTACTGGGTTTCTAGTTCGTGAATGTGAGGCGTGCACTTTTGGATTTTACAATTTTTTTTTAAACACCTGTTAGCCTAGCCCCAAAGAAAGCACTGTAAGGCTTGTGTTATGGGATACTAGGGTAACGGATACAATACATATACTGCACATATAAATATATTTATAAAGAAATACATATCAAACATCCATGACTGGAGTGCAAATGCTCGTAATCATCACAAAAACATTTGCCCCCCCCCCCCCCCCCCCCCCCCCCCCCCCCGGATTCGAACCCGAGACCTTTCGAGTCGGCGACACCATGAAACCCAGCGTGCAAACCACTCGGCCACGGAGGTCGTTAGCATTAATTGCAAGGCCACACAAACTTTGAGACATTTTTTCCCCTTTAAGAATTAAGAACCAAGGCCACATACCTTGAGACGGTTGTACATCCTTTCAAGCGTCTTCCTGTGCTTCATATCTGGGCCGAAGAGTCCCGGGTTCCTCCTCACCATTCCCGCTAATTGTATGAGAAGCATCGGCGGATTGGCAGCGGAGTTACTCTGCACCACGAACTCTTTGGGAACTCTCGCTAAGGCTTCAGTTCCTATTACAAGGAGAATAGAGTTCATAATGAGAAATACGTTGGCGTAAATAAAAATATTTGCAGCCTTAGAAATACTAGAAGAAATTCGACACAGCCATTGAGGTCGCGGTAGCATAATTGGTGTGCATGCATGTGGTAAAGTGCATCCGCCCGGATAGCGGAGGGTGCTGGTTCGAGTACATGCCTGGACCACGTGAATTTCTTCTAGTACATTTTTCTTCTTCTTCTTCTTCTTCTTCTTCTTCTTTCTTCGATCGTTGAAGTTAAGCAACTTTCTCAATTTTCGGTCATTGGATGGGTGACCAAAAATCTACTATCTCGAGTTCCTTCGTGCTTCGGAAGGCACGTTAGGCCGTTGGTCCCGGCTGCATCTGCAGTCGGTAGCACCCGCCAATCCGCACTAGGCCCACGTGGTGGGTCATGGCCCAATCTCCCTATTCCATCCATATAGAAGGCCTGTGCCCCAGCAGTGGGGACATTAATAGGCTGATGATGATGATTTAAATTTAAGCTTCTAAATAAGCAACACAATCTCACCCAGTATCTGCTCCCTGGGTATCCACCCCTCGACGTTGATGAGGTCCAGCCAGTGGGAGACGATGTCCATCTGTATGTCAACAGACCAGCGGCCTATGAGGAGACCGTGGAAACCCTCGTCCCACAGGAACCCGCGCGGGAAGAAAGACCTACACGAAATGAAATTACACTTTATACAAATTGAGTTATTGAAAGGAGACAACATTCAGGAGACAGCATTTAGCTTAGGAGAAGAATGGGCACAAGAAAAAAACAATTACATAAAACTAGCAAACCAGTGAACCAAATGTTCACCAAAACCTGATTTCTCGAAAACCGGAAGTGCTACGTTACTCAAATCCGGTTTGTAGTCTTATCAGACTATTCTTAACTTATAACTTAAATATTCTCTTTATCTATCTCTTACGGTTTGGCCGCTGAAACAGCACCACAGACAGACGGACTTGTCTAATAGATAAGAGATCATGGCGCTACCAATACAACGCCCACTCACATTACGATTGCTGTGTTCAAAGGCGGATCCAGAGGGGGGGCATGGGGGTCATGACCCCCCCCCCCTGGGCTGGGTCCATCTGTACCCACTGTGACTTGACCACGACTATATGACCCCCCCCCTAACGCCAAAGCTGGATCCGCTCTTGGCTGTGTTATGCAGTATAAATACAAATAGTATTTACGTTAGGTGAATTTAGATAACATCTCAATAGTACAGTAGTATAGAGCAGACTTATCTCTGCTGGCAGAACCCGTTCACGAATTATTTTCATTTTTGGAGCTATGCAGTCCCAATGGGAATGTCACTGCGGCCTATAAGGTCTATTGTGACTCGCCACCAAGTTAAAGTATCTCTTTAAGCCCGACAGCTTCCAAGAAGTTCAAAATGTCTCCAGCTTTACGAGAGTCGATTTCCTCTGGGCGTATTATGTCGTCCCAAATGAATACTACATATAATAATAATAATAAATAAATAATATTTCCAACACCCACACCAATTAACCTAGCCCCAAAGTAAGTACTGTAAGGCTTGTATTATGGGATACTAGGGTAACGGATAGAATACATATACTGTACACATTTATATAGAATTATATATTAAATATCCATGACCGGAGTACAAATGCTCATATTCATCACACAAACATCTGCCCCCACCGGGATTCGAACCCGGGACCTCTTGAGTCGGCGACGCCAGCGTTTGCATTGACGACCTCACGGGGGTCGTCAAAAAGACCCTATATCTATGACAATAAGGGTTATACTCGCAAGCTGGGTACGGCGGTATATAAGAGCATAAGAGCACTTATTACAAGTTGCCATTACGTCTGTATTTACAACCAAGAATTGACAACGAACATTGCATTTAAGAAAAGGTTTACATGTGAACATACAAAGAAATATGACCCTTATATCTATGTACATAAGGGCTATACTCACCTACTGGGTACAGCGGTATACAAAGGCGCTCGCCAGTAAGGTACAGGCTCGCGAATATACTGCGAATGTACTCGGCCCGCCCCGTAGAAGTACCCGACGCCGCCTATCATGTTGGACAACGCAGCTTTAGCTATGGCTACGTCTTGTTCGGGATAACTGATACTCTTCATGACACTAGATATAGACACTCCTCGTGACATTCAACACTCATCATGTTTATCCTCGCTACACTACTCATAACACTCATTGCGACGGAAGACACTTCTCGTGACAGTATATACTCCTCATGACACCAGAGACACTCCTCGCGACACTTCGCGTAACACCAGACAATCCTCCCGACATTAGACGTAATATAGTGAGACTAACCTTGCAAGCGAAGTGACTGCCAGTACCCCAAGCACGAACCATTATCGAATTCGTATCGTTTGCACACCGAAATGTCAATGTAAAATTTTGTATGGAAACTTGAACAGCAGCGGCACAAAGTACGTAACGAGAACTAAAAATCAGTACACATTTGACAATGACATTGCGGACTCGCAAACGATACGAATTCGATATTGCTTCGTGTTTGAGGGACAGTAAAATACTACGTTAATAGAGACCATTTCAACAAAAAAATGTGAAGTGTCACCTCCTGGGCCCAGAAAGACAGTTTTACCACACCTTCCAGTTCCTCGTCAGGTCCAATATAAAATTTTCTAAAGTCCCCTACTCACCTACTGGGTACAGCAGTATACAAAGGCGCTCGCCAGTAAGGTACAGGCTCGCGAGTATACTGCGACTGCACTCGGCCCGCCCCGTAGAAGTACCCGACGCCGCCTATCATGTTGGATAAAGCAGCTTTAGCTATGGCCACGTCCTGTTCTGGATAACTGGAAAAGAATAATAAACTTTAGATTAAAAAAAATCCACGCGGACCAGGCAGCAGACGGGACTCGAACCCGCACCCTTCGCAATCCGGGCGAATACACTGACCAATTATGCTACCGCGGCCCTGATGGCCGCGTCGAAATTTTCCTAGCCATTCTTAAGCTGCAAGGCAGCGCCATCTCTTCGCATTGTAGGTAACCCGCAATGTCAAATGAATACTTTTTCAAGTATTAAACATTTGAAAGTAGAAACAGCATTTATAGTTGTTTTTATTTTATTTTTTTAAACATCTAGCAGTAAAATGCTTAAAAAATAAAATAAAAACAACTTTAGATTATCAATCCGCCATATTATACAAAAAGATGTAAATTTGACAATGATGTTGATTCTGGCAGGATTCTCCAAACCTAAACTTAAATTTGACAACAGTGGTGACGATTCTGGCATGAATCTCTCTCCTTTTCAATTTATATAGAGAATGAAAAGGATGCACTGTTGTAAAATTTAAGTTAAAGTTTAGAGAATCATGACAGAATCGACACCAATGTATCCTTGTCTTTCTCTATACAGAATGTGTTGACGACAGCCGTGCACCGAACACAAACGAGAAACGGTTCGTCCAATCACAAGGCCTACTTCACGGGTTTCAGAGGGGTGCGGGGCATTGTGCAACGGGGGGATAGTCGCGCGATGAGCCGCTAATTAAAAGGCGTACTTTTTGATGGACACGCGCAGGAAGGGGTGCATTAAAGTCTGAGCTATGATTGAATAACATCTTATTATGTTTTTATTAATTTTTAAGCATTTAACTGCTTGATGTTTAAATCTAAAGAAAAGTTTACTAGAAAAGAATCCACGCGGACCAGGCAGCGGACGGGACTCGAACCCGCATCCTTCGCAATCCGGGCGAATGCACTGACCATTATGCTACCACGGCACTATTCGCCGCGTCGAAATTTTCCTAGCCTTAAGCTGCAAGGCAGCGCCATCTCTTCGCATTGTAGGTAACATCTTATTACTTTAATAATATAATGGTGTCAATTCTGACAGATTCTCTAAACCTAAACTTAAATTTGACAACAGTGTATCCTTGTCATTCTCTATACGGAATGTAAAGGAGAGATTGATGTTAAAAGTTTAGAGAATCACGCCAGAATCGACACCTATATCTTATTAAATAAACTATATGGAATTGGAATCCTTGGCAAGGCGCACGTATGGTTCACGTCGTCTGCCATCAGGGGCTGTTCATAAAAATCATGAAATATCAAAATAACAAAATATAAAAATCATGAAATATCACACCCCTCCCGGGTATAGAAATATATCACGTGTATTTCCATGGTCCGATGATACTGTATAATTAATAATGTTCATGTATTAAGACAAAAAATGTGTGCGTATACTAGTGTACACACGTAAGAAGTGAAACTTCTTTATGGCCTTATTTTTCGAAAAATTATCTACATGCAACTTTCCAGAAATTGGTTAAATAAAGTTAAATTAGATAAAGTTTAAACAAAAGGATTTTATTATCATAGACATGAATACAAATTACTGCCTATGAAACTGTTATGATTACACGGCTCAGTAATCTAAGGCACATGTTCCACCTCCGACGATGAACGATAAGCGAGTAGAAACTAGAAACGAATTGGCAGTCCTGAGTTAAAATGCACGCGCACGGCTTTTGACAGCCAAGCCAGCTTAACCGAGCGAGTATAGCTGAGCGACTATCGCTGAGCTAGTATCGCTGAGCGAGAATCGCTGAGCGAGTATCGCTGGGCGAGTATCGCTGAGCGAGAATCGCTGAGCGAGTATCGCTGAGCGAGTATCGCTGAGCGAGTACCGCTGAGCGAGTATCGCTATGCGAGTTTGGCTGAGCGAGTCTTATCTTTAATAACTATTGTCACTCAGCTACAAACGAGTAGAGAGAGTTCTCGCCGGCGACAGTGTGATCATTCAGCTATCAACTATTAATATAAAAAAAGATGGCGCGTAACGGAAAAATGTGACGCGTAACCGAAAAAAATGTGACGGTAAATTTTTTTCCAACGCCGATAAAGAAGTTTCACTTCAAAAAGTTATTCGCATTTCTTTCATTATTTTTATGTCAGTCAAAACAACCTGCAACCCTTTCTGTGTACCTCTAAGCGTTATTACTGTAACGTACTGTACCGTTGTCTTAAATTTTCTATAATAAAATTAGATGTAAAATTAGATGATACTTATACAGAAATATTAAAAAAAAAAAATTTTTTGTAGGTACTAAGAAAACACACGTGATATAGAGGGGGAGGGGTTTCAGTCTTAAACCTCACCATGTCACTCTTGCCTCATCACTAACGGGGGGGGGGGGGGGGACTAGACTTACCCTTTCTCAGCCAACCGGAAGGTATCCTCGAACTTCTTGTCAAACTCTCTCTTCTTCTCCTCCAACGCCTTGTGATACTCGTGGCCTTGCAGCGGCGGTGTCGGCAGATCCTCAGTGGTGTACACCACGTCCAGAACGAACGGTGTTTCAACGAGGAGTTGGATCGGGACGAAGTTAACGGCCTTGTCCTGATAATATAAATATATTCATCCATTTAAGTGAAATTGGAGACTAAAATAACAAAATGGAAATACCCCTGCCATGTTTATCAAAATAAGTCGAGGAGCTCGATGGCGCAAGTGGTTAGCGCGTTCGGCTGCGATCGTTGAACTTAAGCAACTTTCGCAGTGGTCGGTCATTGGATGGGTGACCAAAAATTACTATCTCAAGCTCCTCCGTGCTTCGGAGGGCACGTTAAGCCGTTGGTCCCGGTTGGATCTGCAGTCGTTAGCACCCACCAATCCGCACTGGGCCCGCGTGGTGGGTCATGGCCCAAATCTCACTATTCCATCCATAGGGAAGACCTGTGCCCCAGCAGTGGGGACATTAATAGGCTGATGATGATGAAGTGTACACGTTCACATTTATTTTATTTTAAAATTTATATCATTGAAACAAAGACAGTGAAAACATTAAATGTGCACGATAATAATTGCATTAGTTATAAACTCTGATGCAGAAGAGGAGTTCTCAGAAAGAGTGTCATCAATAATGTCTTTTAGTTCAGGCCTCTTATGACACTCGACATTCCTCGCGACAATGGATACTCATCGTGACAATCATCATATAGCTGAACTGGTACATAAGTAGAGTAGAACTGCTCCTTGAGGACATGCAGCCCTGGTAGACACTGCTCATGACACTCTTCATGAGACTACCCTTATGCACCTTCGTAGATAGTTTTCGTGACACCAGATACTGCACATGACACTAGACACTCATTGCAGAACTTCAGCAATAATTGGCACTCCTCATGACACACTCATCATGTTTATCCTCGCTACACTCCTCATGATACTCGACACTCCTCATAACACTCCTTGCGACGGAAGACACTTCTCGTGACAGTATATTCTTCTCATGACACCAGAGACACTCTTCGCGACACTTAGCATAACTCCAGACACTCCTCCCGACATAAGACGTAATATAGGAAGACTAACCTTGCGAGCGAAGCGACCTCCAGAAAAATACTTCGTTAATAGACCTAATAATATCAGACATAATAACCTATTCAACAAAAAAAATCTGAAGTGTCACCTCCTGGGCCCATAAAGAACAATTTTAACACACCTTCTCATACAGTTCCTCGACAGGCTCCACGAACAGCACTACACTGCTTCGTGACACTAGATAATATTAGTGACATCCATCATGATATAGTACAACTAGTACTTAGTGGAGCAGATCATCTCCTTGAGCACATGCAGCTCAAGTAGACACTGCTCATAACTCACAATGGGCCCTAGTGCAAGTCGGACTCGCAAATGAAACGTAGAAAATACTGTCGAAGGTCAACATTCCTCTTGACAATGGATACTCATCGTGACAATCATCATATAGCGGAACTATTACTTAAGTATAGTAGAACTGAACTTGAGGACATGCAGCCCTGGTAGACACTGCTCATAACCCTATTCTTTAAAGAAACCTCACCTTCTCGTCCAGTTCCTCGTCAGGCCCTACGACCGCCATTCAGCAGTAGCCTGTGTGCTTCTGCACCTTCAGTAGCGAGTAGAACTTCTCCTTGAGGACATGAAGTCCTGGTAGACACTGCTCATGACCCTATTTATCAAGGAAACTTCACCTTCTCGTCCAGTGCCTCGTCAGGCCCCACGACCGCCATTCGGCCGTAGCCCGGCTGCTTTTGCACCTTCAGCAGCGAGTAGAACTGCCCCTTGAGGACATGCAGCCCTGGTAGACACTGCTCATAACCCTATTCTTTAAAGAAACCTCACCTTCTCGTCCAGTTCCTCGTCAGGCCCCACGACCGCTATTCGGCCGTAGCCTGTGTGCTTCTGCACCTTCAGTAGCGAGTAGAACTTCTCCTTGAGGACATGAAGTCCTGGTAGACACTGCTCATGACCCTATTTATCAAGGAAACTTCACCTTCTCGTCCAGTTCCTCGTCACGCCCCACGACCGCCATTCGGCCGTAGCCCGGCTGCTTTTGCGCCTTCAGCAGCGAGTAGAACTGCCCCTTGAGGACATGCAGCCCTGGTAGACACTGCTCATAACCCTATTCTCTAAAGAAACCTCACCTTCTCGTCCAGTTCCTCGTCAGGCCCCACGACCGCCATTCGGCCGTAGCCCGGGTGCTTTTGCACCTTCAGCAGCGAGTAGAACTGCCCCTTGAGGACATGCAGCCCTGGTAGACACTGCTCATGACCCTATTCATCAAGGAAACCTCACCTTCTCGTCCAGTTCCTCGTCAGGCCCCACGACCGCCATTCGGCCGTAGCCCGGGTGCTTCTGCACCTTCAGCAGCGAGTAGAACTGCCCCTTGAGGACATGCAGCCCTGGTAGACACTGCTCATAACCCTATTCTTTAAAGAAACCTCACCTTCTCGTCCAGTTCCTCGTCAGGCCCTACGACCGCCTATCGGCCGTAGCCTGTGTGCTTCTGCACCTTCAGTAGCGAGTAAAACTTTTCCTTGAGGACATGAAGTCCTGGTAGACACTGCTCATAACCCTATTCTTTAAAGAAACCTCACCTTCTCGTCCAGTTCCTCGTCAGGCCCCACGAACGCCATTCGGCCGTAGCCCGGGTGCTTCTGCACCTTCAGCAGCGAGTAGAACTTCTCCTTGAGGACATGCAGCCCTGGTAGACACTGCTCATAACCCTATTCTCTAAAGAAACCTCACCTTCTCGGCCAGTTCCTCGTCAGGCCCCACGACCGCCATTCGGCCGTAGCCCGGGTGCTTTTGCACCTTCAGCAGCGAGTAGAACTGCCCCTTGAGGACATGCAGCCCTGGTAGACACTGCTCATGACCCTATTCATCAAGGAAACCTCACCTTCTCGTCCAGTTCCTCGTCAGGCCCCACGACCGCCATTCGGCCGTAGCCCGGGTGCTTCTGCACCTTCAGCAGCGAGTAGAACTGCCCCTTGAGGACATGCAGCCCTGGTAGACACTGCTCATAACCCTATTCTTTAAAGAAACCTCACCTTCTCGTCCAGTTCCTCGTCAGGCCCTACGACCGCCTATCGGCCGTAGCCTGTGTGCTTCTGCACCTTCAGTAGCGAGTAAAACTTTTCCTTGAGGACATGAAGTCCTGGTAGACACTGCTCATAACCCTATTCTTTAAAGAAACCTCACCTTCTCGTCCAGTTCCTCGTCAGGCCCCACGAACGCCATTCGGCCGTAGCCCGGGTGCTTCTGCACCTTCAGCAGCGAGTAGAACTTCTCCTTGAGGACATGCAGCCCTGGTAGACACTGCTCATAACCCTATTCTCTAAAGAAACCTCACCTTCTCGGCCAGTTCCTCGTCAGGCCCCACGACCGCCATTCGGCCGTAGCCCGGCTGCTTTTGCACCTTCAGCAGCGAGTAGAACTGCCCCTTGAGGACATGCAGCCCTGGTAGACACTGCTCATGACCCTATTCATCAAGGAAACCTCACCTTCTCGTCCAGTTCCTCGTCAGGCCCCACGACCGCCATTCGGCCGTAGCCCGGGTGCTTCTGCACCTTCAGCAGCGAGTAGAACTGCCCCTTGAGGAGATGCAGCCCTGGTAGACACTGCTCATAACCCTATTCTTTAAAGAAACCTCACCTTCTCGTCCAGTTCCTCGTCAGGCCCTACGACCGCCTATCGGCCGTAGCTTGTGTGCTTCTGCACCTTCAGTAGCGAGTAAAACTTTTCCTTGAGGACATGAAGTCCTGGTAGACACTGCTCATAACCCTATTCTTTAAAGAAACCTCAACTTCTCGTCCAGTTCCTCGTCAGGCCCCACGACCGCTATTCGGCCGTAGCCCGGGTGTTTCTGCACCTTCAGTAGCGAGTAGAACTTCTCCTTGAGGACATGAAGTCCTGGTAGACACTGCTCATAACCCTCTTCATCAAGGAAACCTCACCTTCTCATCCAGTTCCTCGTCAGGCCCCACGACCGCCATTCGGCCGTAGCCCGAGTGCTTCTGCACCTTCAGCAGCGAGTAGAACTTCTCCTTGAGGACATGAAGTCCTGGTGCATGAGCTTCGGAGTACGCCGAGTGGATGATCTTGCCTGATGAAAGAAGATTATTCATGGAGAGAGGGAACCACGGAGCAAACACAAAAAATCGATCTCGCACTCGATGACGCAGGTGGTAAACGCGTTTGGTCAACGATCGTAAAAGATAGGCAATGATTACAATGGTCTGTCAACGGATAGGTGACCAAAAATTTACTATCGCTCACTCCCCCGTGCTTCGAGAGGCACTATAAGCCGTTGCTCCCGGCTGCATCTGCAGTCGTTAGCATTCACCAATCCGCACTGGGCCCGCGTGGTATATCACGGCCCGCACTCCCTATTCCAACCATAGGAAGGGCCTGTGCCCCAGCAGTGGGGACACTGATAGACTGATGATAACGATTATAACTTACTCCCGATTGTTATCGTGAAAGGACATGCATAAGTATGATGTATAAAGTGCAGGCGCAGACGGCAAGCTGTCGGATACGATGACGTCACTCAACCCTTGATTGAGCGCCCGCAAAATTTGACGACCTCCCAGGCCGAGTTTTATGTCGTCGCTCTACTCAGAGGTAACCTGGTTCGAATCCCGGTGGGGGCAAATGTTAGTATGATGAATACGAGCATTTGTAATTTAGTCATGGATGTTTATATATATTTCTAGACAAAATATATGTATTCTATTTATAATAAATAGCAAATTATATGACGTCACACTAGGGAGGGATCTCAAAAATGTGACCAATTATAGTAAGGACGGGGGAGGAGTCAAAAAATCATGAAATTAGTGTTACGTCTTTATCGATGACCTCTTACTTCACAGCTTTCATTAAGTTTGAATCCCATAATACCATACGAAAATTGAATTTAATCTACCTTTTTGAGGTACAAGTGTGACCCTGAAGTGGTCCATTTGTGGCGTGTGCCCCAGTAGGGCTCCGCCCTCCACCCACAGTCGCGAGGCCTCCGGCCCCAGAGACTCGTCCAAGGCTCCGTACCATATCAGCATAAAATTGGTGTTAGCGTTATTCTGTGAAACAATGTCTTATTGTTAACTGCACTTGCACTCAAAGGGGTGTAATTGAAAGAATTATAAATGAGGAGTTTAGGAACAAAAAGTAACATTTAGGTATTTCAGTCCCCCTACTAGCCTAGCCTAGCCTAGCCTACGGGTGCATTTTTGGTCAGTACGAGTCTGACATAACCCTGCAGCCGGCTGTAGGGTATCCATAAGGATTTCTCACCCGCTCCCTCGCCTGGGAGGAAACAAAAAAAAACGTATTCGTGTATCAGTGACTTTGAAGGCTTGCGGAGTTATTAATTTGTCGAAAAAAACTGTCATACAAATTTTAATTTAATAAAATTAAAAAAAAACATGCCTTCAGTAAAATTTAAAAACTAAAGAAAATATAACTAGATTTTTTTTTCCACGCGGACCAAGCAGCAGACTCAAACCCGCACCCTTCGCAATCCAGGCGAATGCACTGACCAATTATGCTACCGCGGCCCTCACGGACTGCGTCGAAATTCCTCTAGCCATTCTTAAGCTGCAAGGCAGCGCCATCTCTTCGCATTATAGGTAACCCACAATGTCAAATGAATACTTTTACTGTATTAGTATTGAACATTTGAAAGAAGAAATAGCAATTATAGTTCTTTTTTTTTAAAACTGTTCAAAGAATGGTAGAATCTAAGATAAAAACTTAAATAAAGAAAACAAGAAAAAACGTTCAGAAAAAGCATTAAAGAAAAAAGAACAGAACTGGCAACAAAAATTAGAAGATTTATTTGATATTGCTCATCGTGATGCTTTAAATATTATGACTTTAGAAGAAGACAAACAGTTTTTATTAGCAGTGCGACAAAATCGACGCCAAGTTTTAATTGGTTCAGCGGACAGAAAAAGTCTAAACAAATGCAAGAACTGAAAAGAGAAAAGAGAACGCCTTGAAAAATTGTGCGAGCGAGCGCGTAAACAAATATATATCATCTATGACAGAAAAATGCTCATTTTCTTCATTTTAATTTCTTTCGTCGTCGACCTACAAGTGGAGAAGCAACTTCATCTGACTCCGAATGTATATCAAAATTGACGAAGATGCAACCACCTCAGAAACAAGCTCGTAAAGACATTATTAACAGTCAATTAGCATCCAGTATTGATGTCTCTAGATTGAGTGACAGCCAAGCAACTATGGTCGTAACATCTTTTTTGAAAAGTGCAGGCTGTGATCCATTAGAATTGAATGTCAATAGATCTACTATTCGTAGGCAGCGCAGGGCTTGTTTACCGGTTAATTATGAAACCTAAATCAGTATCAAGTACATTAGGAGTGTTTTATTTAGGTTTGGCTCTTCCTAAACCTTAAAAAACCGGTTTTCCTAAAAAGCGAAATGAAATAGGTATTGAATCAATTTAGCAGTTCTTAAAGGGTTTCATTTCGCTCTTACTGACGGCATCTCCTTGCAGGGCTTGTTTACCGGTTAATTTTCAAACCTAAATCAGTGTCAAGTACATTAGGAGAATTTAATTTAGGTTTGGCTCCACCTTAACCTTAAAAAACCGGTTTTCCTAAAGAGCGAAATCAAATAGGTTTTGAATCAATTTAGCGGTTTTTAAAGGGTTTCATTTCGCTCTATCTGACGACATCGATAATAAATGAATAACTTGACTCACTAGACGCTAGCAAACGTGTCAATAAATGCATCAATCTCTGGGCATTAACAAGTTGTGACTTGATTAGTTCAAACAAAACAAACTTCAAGCGATACCGACGTGTGCGTGGTTTTAGGTACCGCTTTCATTTCGGACGCACTCTGAACGAAACCTTTACTAAAAACCGGTATTAACATTTATTTATCGTTAGTTTCGAAACCGGTTTCAAGCCCTGTCGCCTTGGCCGTTTCAATTCAAAATTATAATGATTTTATGTCAGTTTCGTTCCAACGATAAAGCGAGTGAGTGAAGTAGTGTGTCAGTACACAATTACAAAATGAATAACTTGACTCATTAGACGCTAGCAAACGTGTCAATAAATGCATCAATCTCTGATCATTAACAAGTTGTGACTTGATTCAGAAATCAGAAATCAATATATCTTTATCCAAATTGGATGTATAGTACAACACTTTTGAATCGTCCAAACATTTTTTTTCCCTACCACTCGTTATTGGACATATTTTTTAGCTGCGGAGAAAAACGAGCGAAAAAAACTCCACAACATTAAAAGCATAATGTAACAACATTTACAAATCATTATGTTGTTACAACGTCAATAGAATCATGATTTATTTAATATAGAAAACCTGTTGGAATGATTGGAACAGTTCAAACCCAAGCATTTTTGTCTGTAATATAATCAGACACTTTGTAATAAGCTTTTTTAATAAGTGCTTTTTTTATACTATCTTTGAATTTATTTATGCTTAACTCTTGGATATTGCTTGGGACTTTATTGTATAAGCGAACACAAAGACCTTTAAATGAATTATTGATTTTGTGAAGCCTAGTAGCAGGTAAAGTTAGTTTATTTTTGTTTCTTGTATTAAGTGTGTGAACATCACTGTTTTTAAGAAACAAATTAATATTTTTTCTTACAAGTAATAAATTTTCGTAAATGTATTGTGATGCGACCGTCATTATACCAAATTCTTTAAACCTATCTCTTAAGGAATCCTTAACTTTAAGATTATAAATTGATCGAATAGCTCTCTTCTGCAGCACAAAAATAGTTTGAATGTCAGCGGCGTTTCCCCACAATAAAATTCCGTACGACATTACACTATGGAAATAACTAAAGTATACTAATCTGGCCGTATCTACATCCGTTAACTGGCGTATCTTCATTACGGCATATGCTGCAGAACTAAGTCTATTTGACAATTTATCAATATGTGGGCCCCATTGAAGCTTAGAATCTAAAGTAATCCCTAAGAATACTGTGGTGTCTACAAGGCCCATATTCCTATCCTTTACATTCATACTGGTTTTTACTTGTTTTACATTAGGTAATACAAATTTAATACATTTCGCTTTTTTCTTCATTTAGTAATAAATTATTAATATTAAACCAGTGGACTACCTTAGAGATACAACTGTTCACGTCGTCAATAACTGTTTCCTTACGTTTGAGTTTAAATAAAAGTGATGTATCATCATGCTTATCTCTAACGTAGTAAGGCAAGTCATTAATATAAATTAAAAATAAGAAAGGACCAAGGATTGAGCCCTGCGGAACACCCATTTTAACCGGCGAACCCGCAGACTTATTGCCGTTAATGTCAACCCTCTGAATCCTATCCATCAGGTATGACGCAATAAGATCCAGATCAGTATCTCTAAATCCATAGTGGTGGAGTTTCCTGAGTAATGTTTCATGAAAAACGCAATCAAAAGCCTTGGACAAGACAAAAGATTAGTTCAAACAAAACAAACTTCAAGCGATACCGATGCGTGCACGTGTCGCTTTGGATAAAACCGGTTTATTATGGTTTTAGGTACCGCTTTCATTTCGGACGCTCTCCGAACGAAACCTTTACTAAAAACCGGTATTAACTTTTATTTACCGGTATTTTTGAAACCGGTTACAAGCCCTGCGGCAGCGTGTCAAAAATCGCAAAGCTGTTGCAGAGTGAGTACATAATAGCTTACCTGAGCAGTTACGTTTATTCTCGCAGTCCAATGGCCGCCGTGAGCGCCTCCTGGCGTCTTCACGAACGAGGTAACGATAGTGTGAGGGGGGTCCGTTATGGACTGCTCGCCGAACGACACTCCGTCATGACGCAACCAACCGTACGATGGTAGGTTGTCGTTCTGATCGCACCAATGCCTGGCAATCGAAAAACCTTTGATTATTATGAGAGCGGCAATCCATGATCATGGCGCTTGCAACAATGCCGAAATTTCGGAGTCTCATAAAAAACAAGGTACATGGTAACAATCCCGTTAATAGCTATAATGTTAGTAACCATGTAAGTCCAAACTCGATTTGTTTTAGTAGGCAGTCCAAGGTCCATCAGCCACCTTCTAGTCCATCGTCAGGTCCTCGTCATCAGGAAAATGAACAGAATATGTTAAGACGAATCTGATGAGCCCAAACTCGATATGTTTACTAGTAGGAAGTTGGTACCATAATATTGTATTGTCATCTCATCATCATCAGCCTCTTAATGTCCCCACTGCTGGGGCAAAGGCCTTCCCTATGGATGGAATAGGGATATTGGGCCAAGACCCAACACGCGGACCCATGCGGATTGGCGGGTGCTAACGACTACAGATGCAGCCGGGACCAAAGGATTAACGTGCCGTCCGAAGCACGGAGGAACTCGAGATAGAAGATTTTTGGTCACCCATCCAATGACCGACCACTGCAAAAGTTCCTTAACTTCAATGATCGCAGCTTAACGCGATAAAAACCTGCGCCATCGAGCTCCTCATCTTATCTAATCTAATCTTTTATCATCTAATCTACATATAATTGCCAATTTCATGATGATACAAGAATTAGAAGTGGGTGTAATTCAGATTCTTAGATTTTATTACATAGTTTGTTTGTTCATTACAAGTCAACCAAATAATAAATAAATAAATATTTCCAACACTCACACCAATTAGCCTAGCCCCAAAGTAAGCACTGTAAAGCTTGTGTTATGGGATGCTAAGGTAATGGATAGAATACATAAATTGTACATATATAAGTTTATTTAAATGTATAGAAATACATATGCAAAATCCATGACTAGAGTACAAATGCTCGTATTCATCACACAAACATCTGCCCCCACTGGGATTCCCTCGAGGAACCCGGGACCTCTCGAGTTAGCGACACCATGAAACTCGGCATACAAACCACTCGACCGCAGAGGTTGTCGAATCGGAGAGGTCGAATAAAAGCTTGTTAATAACAATATAATTAAATATATTTGTCTTAGACAAATAGGACATATTTACCTATGTTATGTATAGTTATTATATCTTTATATGTTATGTAGGTAGTGCCAACTGGTTCTCTTGTTGTAGAATAAGATTCAATACATGTGGGTCAATATAAAACTTTTAATAATCAGTTGTCATAGTTTTTGCTACAAAGCTCAATAAATTCAATTATATATTTTGGTGTATTATTGAACGCAATAATTAATAAGTAAAAAATTTAATTAACATAAGATTCTTACCTTATGCCTTTATGAGAGGCAGCAGACAAGTCATACCACATGAGACCGAAGACAGGGGACCTCGGTTCCCGGCTCTTCATACCGAAGTAAACTCCAGGCCTGTATGAGCCCCAGTATCTCTCTGGCACATCTAAACCTGACTCTTGTACGACCTGTGGATTGAATTGTTTTGAAATTATTACTTCCGCAACTTTTTCTGTGACCAAAAGAGAAAGAGAAGAAAAGGGAAACCACTCAAGAGATGGGGGGATGACATAGGAAAGTTTCTATGCAAATCTTAGACAAGGCTGGCTTTGGAGAGGAAATGTAGAAAGAAAGGGTAAAACTGTACTTCCAAGGCCCAAGATACTTTTTTTTTTTTTTGTAAAAAAGGTTAAATGTTAGTCGAGATTTTTTCTGGCACTTTGCCGGTCGCATCTGCGGCACGCTCACTTTGCTCGCTCAGCTCGCGCATTATGGTCACAACACTAGCCTAACCTAACCTAGTGTGAAGTATCACCAGGAGTATATCAAGAGTTGGACGAGGATTTTGGCAAAAGGCACACGGAGTTAGAGTAACAAATTTTTTATTTTTATATAATTAGTGTTGATTCTCTAAAGGCTATATATAAATAAAAACATTTTGTAAATCTATAATTCCTACAGTGAATTAGCTTCAAATCCAATTGGAATAATAGATGTTAATCTATAAAATGAGCATTCAACTTGGTAATAGATTTAAAATAGATACTTTTTATTTTAAATTTTGTAAGTGAACTGTAGCAAAATGCTCATTGATGTTTCTAAAATTCACTAATAGAAATAAACAACAATAACAGGGGAAGCAGCCGGCAAAAAATCCCTTTAAATAGACTAAGTTTAGCGTACCTTTTCATTGTCAAATGGAGTGTTGACTCTGGTCTCTAGATAGCCCAGAGTACCCACGTAGACCGCAATTAAGAAACACACGAAACCAACCAGGGTCTTCCATATGGAAAGCACTTTAAACGTCCTGCTTGCAAACGAAGATTCACTGGAATTGGAGCTGCTGCTCGTGTCATTGTTATTGCCGTGTTTTAACTGGACATGACCAACTTTTCTGTGACGGACCATAATAAGTATGTTAACTAATAGATTAATGATAGAATATTCATGGATAATTGACGCGTTAAAGATATCTCTTATAAATGAATTCGTAAAATTCACTGTCGGCTTTTTCGAAGAGATACAGCCAGTAGCACATCAATACGTGTATGATTTGACGTTTAAAATTGACAGTAGGGATGTACAAAATAATCGATGAATTTTCGAAATTAATTTCGTTTTTTTTTGTGCTTACTCTTTGATTGTGGCCGTAGTTCAATTTAATTAATAATATTAATTTCAAGAAGTTTTGTTTGTTTGGTAGTCTGTCTAATGAATCGTGACCCACCAAAAGAGCGGCTAAAAAGGTGGTGTTTAAGCAGAAATAAATTCTGTAGCTGTAAGCTGTAAACACCGCTGTTTTAGAGACAATATACTTAATTACAGATTCATGAAACATTGTAACCAACTTGAAAAGGGAGAGGTACTCAATACTGCTATATTTTTACCTCATAATGATCTCTGCGATTTGTAGATACGTAAAGGATAGGTAAGTGTTCCTTCTTCATTGCGTGTGGGTTTTCATTAAAGGTTGGTATTTATTTTTATTAAAAACTATCTCACTGCGTAGGAATATTGCTACCTACTTTACTATGTATTCTACTTGTATGTAAAAAATAACATACCCAAATGAACGAAAATATTATAACCCACCCACCCAAAAACTCGTCAATTCGTAACTTCAAAGTGACAGTTCTATTATAATACAGTTATAATTCATATTCAAAACTTAAAAAATTGCAATCTCACGATCACGATTCATTATTACGGACTATTCTCAATAAAATTATAAGAAGAAAGTTTTTTATTCTTCCTATTCCCGTAATGAAGATGAATGCGAAAGTGTCTCTGCTAGTCACAGGCGCGGTCCGAAGGGGGGTCACAGGGGACATGACATGACCCCCCCCCCCTCAAATCTAAGGTAAATAGAAAAATCTCAAAATTTTAAAAGGAAATTTCTAACAACGATAAATTTATAGTTTGTTGACATTTAGTGGTGTTTTTATGAACTACGTAAGATGGCCAAATTAACTTGCAAATGACATCTAGTGCTAGTTCAGAAACAAGAACCGAACTACGTAGTTTTGGTAATCCTAGCAAAATCGAAATGCGTCCTTATGATAAAGATTGTATTACAATATTTTATAAGTAATGTACAAACTAAATGGTGTCTTGTGCAATAATGTTTATTTTATTCCAGATACCTATATTTTATTAGTGTAGTGAGTGACCCCCTCCAAAATTTCAGGCTGCGACCGCGCCTGGCTAGTCATGTTTTCATAAAATGTATTTACATTAAAAAAATCAATTATCACTATCAATGTGATTATTTGAAATTGATTTTTGTACTTAAAGTTACATCCCTAAATGACAGCGCTGTTTTTTTTTTGTTAAGGTCTCCCTTTTCAGGGAAGGCAAGGGGAACAATGCCCATACAGCCTAGTCTTAAGTTAAAATATTCTGTTTTTCTTTTTACATTAGAATGTCGGTGTGACGCATTCTAATGTTTCTTGAAGTGTTTGGCACGAAATGTATCGAGCTGGCTTTTTCGATAAGCTTCTGTGAGGTAGTCAATACTACAATAAAATTCTCACATCCACTTGACCGGAATAGCGTATATTTTGACGATTCTACTAATTCTTCAGTTACGCAGACAGTTGTAACACAAAATCACACCAATTTTATTTCACAATATCCACTATGAACGAATTTAAGAATAATTAAAATAAGACGCCAACCACACTCGATGAAATCCCGCCAAAAACTCCTGTTTTTTTTATTCTGTGGCTGTTTCCGTTTCACACAGAAATTTCGCCAATAACCCGTCGCTTTTTAATTTGATTAAAGAAGCTGTCAGAGCAAAGGAATGTTGTAATTTCCGTACTACCTACTACAACATTTATTTACTCTATTCTTAACTGATATTTTGTTTGTACTAGCCGGTTACCGTGTCTTCATCTGCACAGAATAGATGGCTTTTAATACAAAGGCGATGGATCAAATTTGTATGGAGGGTGATAGTCAGTCTTCGACAGATTACAATTTTTATAACACGTAGGACACTTAATTGTAAATCGTTTGGCTAAAAAACTATTTTTTTCTATTCCCGCTTATTTAAATATTTAAAAACGAACCTATTTATTTGGTGTAACGATAACAATTACAAAAGCTTAAAACTACCATAAGTCTAAAAACTTAAAAACTAGAAATAACTAAGAACTTAAATAATATACAATTTACAAAATAAAAAATATATCACCCCCAGCGCCGCCATCAGAAATGGCGCCCAATAGGCTGGCAGCATTTCCACGTTGGATAGCGAGGCTAATCCGTTGGCCGAGGTAGCTGCCAGCCTTTTGATCACCGGTCAGCTCGGTGAGTCTCTTAGACAATTCCTTAAAGAAGGAACGAGCGCTTGGACCCCATGGTCCCATAGTCTCCACACCTAACGGCACAAATATGTAGCTCTCATTGAGAGCTGAAATATTAAATATTTTATTTATTTAGTTTCTCTTTATTGTCATTTTACAACAAATGGCGGACTTAATGCCACATGGCATGGAATATTTATTATATTATAAAATTATATATTATTGATTCATTGGCAAATGGCAAGATTATTTATCTAATTTTTTGTTGTCAAACCCTCAAATACCTATATTCTTTTCTATAGATAACTATTGTATCCGTATTCCTCCAGATTTCTCTTTGCCAAAATTAATTATTATCGATTAAAAAATTTAGACCTAAAACATAACAATTAAACTCACCTTCATAATCCTTAACCAACTATTATTATAAATGTGAAACAGTGCTTGTCTGTTACCTCTTCACACTGCAAGTCGACTGACTACACTACATGCAGTCGTTAGTAAAATAGAGCAGGGATGTTACGGAGCTTCGATTCCGATTCCGTTTAGTCGGAACTTCCGATTGTTATTACACCTTCGGTTGTGAAACTTTTGAATCGCAGGTTTCAATCGGAGGTCGAAGCATAGCAAATTGCGACGGCGGCCTGCGTCGACCGTTACGAACTGGTTCATATCCGTCGCGTTGGGAGTCTGTGTTAATAACAAGTAAATATAAATGAATAAATATTATTTTATTTATTAAAATAAAAAAAGGTAGACTGAATGATGTTTTTATTTTTTCTTAAATGCAAAAACTTCTCTCTTGTGACCACTTCTGACTCTGCCTCCGACTCCGGTTCCAACTCTGATAAATCAAATTTAAAAAACTCCGACTCTTAATTGACCTCCGTTACATCCCTGAAATAGAGGATAGTCTCAGACAGAAAGGGCTATGTTTGGGCACCTATATAGACATAGAAGGTGCGTTTGACAAAACAAGTTTCGCCAGCATTGTAGACGCACTCGGCAAACACGGAATCTACGAGACCATTATATACTGAGTAAGCAACATGCTCCGTAACAGACTAATCAGACTTCAGGACGACAACCATCTCAGAGCATTTGCGACTAAAGGATGTCCTCAAGGAGGAGTACTCCAGCCATGCTGACGGAGCAAGGTTGCATGGAACCACTGGTAGTTGGCATCGACTACCAGCCATATAGCTGCAGTTTCCGATGTCGCGCTGAAAGGAATATGCCCCTACACCACAGTCCTGGTGCCTTGATTTTTAATATCGGCATCCCAGTTGTGGCTCCGTGGTGGGTGGGACTGGTGAGGATAAATTTAATTTGACACGTGGAAATGGTATAAAACAGATCCCAATTAAAATTTAACGAAGACCTGGTGAAGGGGAAACCAGTTTTCGGGCAAGACAGAGAGACTGTCAGACAACCGTTGTTGATCCTGGTGAAAGGGAAACCCGGTTTCAGGCTGACGGAAATAGACAATAAATCATCTACGTCCAGTGCGTTGGTAGACCTGGTGAAGGGGCAACCCGGTTTCAAGCAACAACCACAGGACGCGCCAGACGAGCTGGACTCCTGGCTGGTCGCCACATCAACGACGTAAAAATCGGCAGTTGGAGGACAAAAACAGGAATCCAACCCAGGACACACATCAACAAAACATGGGCAGACTGAAACATTCTTAACTAGCTAGGAAGGCCCGCGACAGACTTCTTTCGGTGAAGAGCACTAAACAAGCTGATGCGGGCCAGGCAGGAACCCAGGACCAAAGACAAACAGACGGACAAAAGGACAAGAAATGGATTGACAGACGGACTGCCAAAAGACAGATCAAAACTGGACAAACGGACAGACAGGAGGCCTCAAAGAGGCCTAGACTCGACGTCCGAGGGGGCAGCATAAAAAATCCATAAATGAGGACCCACGTCGCTTTTCTGGGAAGGTCTCCTTCGCCGACGCAGCTACTGCAGACCTGCTGATGATTGTCACCAGCAAAAAGACAGGACACATTAGTACCACCCAGGCCGTTGTGGAGGAACTGCTAGCAGCAGAATCCTCAACAGACGAAGAAAACCCATCATTGTGGACGACGCTCCGAGCCTCTAATGTGAGACAACCAAAACACTGGAGTGGGTCAGGAAGGTTGTGGACAAGCTTAAAATAAATAAAAAAATGGACGATTGGTCAGTGCATCGTCAAATTGACAGGCCGAAGAGAGTGGTTTGCGGCCTCCTAAAACCGGGGACGCGAGAACCACACACGATCGCCAAGCTGCTGCGCTACCAAACCAAGTTCGCAGAAGTTGACCGATGGATCCTGCACAAGGCCATCGCAGGTGACGACAGCACCTTCACGACCTCGCAGAGGGGCTACTAGGAACAGGCAGACGCCTCTGCTACTTGATGGGCTCTGTATACGTCAAGTTCAGGAACCAGGGCGGTAAGAACCTGGATAGTCTGCCACCGTTAGAGGAAGTAACATCTACTCCGGTACAGAGCACGTCTAAACCAGCCGTGACATAACAGCCAACCAACATAGACACTAGTTGAAATGGAGTCCGCGTCTGAGGAAAAGGGGGACACAGACGTGGTAGATGAGTGGGCGGACAAACTTGGGGGGATCTACATCAGTCAGGAAGTTGATGTCGTCGTGCTTCTCGCCTCAGGTGGCGC